AAAATATACATTAATTTTTTACATTAATTTTTAAAATAATTTATATTTGCATAAAAAATTATACTTTACAAAATAAAAATTTTCAATTTAATATACCAAGAGTTTTGATTAACTCATATATTTATTGCATATTATTATTCTATTTGAATGATTTTTATATTATTTATAATTATATTATAACATACAAACATATAAATTTGTTTTTCTTTCAATAAATTATATATCATTTATTTATATATATATAAATAAATTATATAATATATATATATATATCAATTTTTATAAAAACTCTGGACACTTTCTTTAAATAATAATTCTTTTAATAATTTTAATAATTTTTAATAAAAAAGTTATAAATAATAATAAATAATTTTTTGAAATGATAATAATAATAATAATAATAATAATTTCGAAATGATAATATATGTGTATTTTCTAAATATAACAATAAAACTTTTTGCCTAACTTCTTTTTGAAGTCAGCCTAGTAAATAAACTTTATTTTAAAATTCTATCAAAATAAAAGATACATAAATATTTTTATACATTTATTATATTTTTTACTTTCTAAAAAGTGAAAATTAAAAATACATATATATAGATATCTTGATATATTTACATAATGTTTATAGATAGAGACATACACTTATTTACAAAAATTTATATAAAATTTATATAATACAAAAATTTTATATATTTTATAATAATGTCAATTTTTATTATTTTATTACATTTTATTATATATATTTTTAAATTATTCAATTGGAATAATATAAAAAACTTGTTTCTGGAATGGAATCAAATGATTATAATGCACATATGATTTTGTGATAAGTAATTCATCTTTATACAATATGGAATCTTTTTATTTGTAAAAGTAAGAATTTACAATAAAATATATAAAGTTTTTCATATAATTGATTTATATAATTCTTAAGCAATAAAAAATAGAGTAAAATGTCATAGAATAAAATTAAATTATTTTTATTTTTATAATTTATCGTTTCATATATGTACTTAATCTAGAAATTGAATTTCAATGGAAAGTCCTTTTTTAAATAGAATTTTATCTTTTTTTATACGAGTCAAAATAAATTTTATTCTTTATAAAAGAAATATCAAGATATTTGTATCAAGAATTGATTAGTTCAATTTTAGAAATATTTTAACTTAATAACTATATAGTAGAATCATTATTTAAGGAAGTTAAGAAGACGTTTGCATAAGAAAATTTTCGAATAATAAAATATTTTGATGAATTTTTTTTAGTTATTTTATATTTTTACAAAAAAAATTTACACGATTTTTTTTAATATACAAAACTGAATAAAATTACATTTCATCTAAAATTGCATTTTCGAACCATCATAATCTTTTTTTCTAATATGTCGAATTTTTTAAAATGAGGAAGTATATTTTTACTTTTAATGTTTTATTGTGTTTAGATTAAAATCATTTTTAATCTACATGTCTATTATTTTAATATTAGAATTTAAACATTGTTAACAATATTCTCTTCGTTATAATTTTTATCACATTGGAGCCATTTTATGATATCAATGTTTTATTGCATTTTTTGCATTTTGGTATTATATATAATATCGCAATAAATTTTTTTACATCTTGAAAAATATTCTGTTCGTTAATTTCAATTTCATAGAAAGATTTCAATAAAAGAAGTAATAAAAGTTTTCTTCATGTTTTTATTGTAATTTAAGATAGTGTACAATTCGGATAGTAAAATATTCGAATAATGGAGGTTCTTTTTTCCGATAATTATTGTATAAAAAAACATAAAAATATAAATACAGCACTTCGTTTTTTGTTCTTCATTCGCTAAATTTTGTTGATATAAGATTAAAATATTTCTTAAATTATTGAATTTTTGATACTAATACATGAATATAACATAAAAAATTTGATTAAAAAAAATAAAAGTAAATATAAAAATTTTCATTACAAAAAATATTCTTACAATTCTTTTCTTTCAGATCAAACTCAATATTATTGTTTCATTTTGCCATATAAAATTTTACTCTATCTTCTTAAAAGCTAGATTCAAATGCAAGAAATATCTTGTATGTATCCACGATATGAATTATATAATATTTTAATAAATAATAAAAAATAAAATAATTAAATAATAAAAATCATAATATTACATGTTAATAATAAATTTAAAAAGAAAGAGAAGTAATTGTATAACATTATATAACGTTATTAATATTATATATATTTATATAAATAATAATTAATTAATCAATACTAAACAAACCTTTTGCATATGGATCTTTTGCATTCGATTTTTCCTGATGATCTTGCATGCATATTCATTTCCATTATTGACATCAGTCATCAGAAAAACTTTCGCGAATCCACCCTGAAAATAGTACGAAAAACATATGTAATACAAAAACAAAGTTTTTCATAATTTATTATATTTAATCAGTAAGAATATTGTGCATTTATAGAAAATTTAATCATGCATACAGTATGATAGAAATATATAAAGATAAAATATTTAGGATAAAATAATATTATAATATTTTATAAATAAAATTTTCATTTAAGTTCTGCATCTTTAGAATCGTTTATAAAAATATAAATTTCTATACATATAATACTAATTAAACATACTATATTGTTAAAATATATTATATTATTATATATTATAATAAATTATTTAATACATATTTATATATTATAAGTATTTAATAATATGTTTAATTATTAAAATAATTATTAATAATTAATTAAATATATTTGCTATTAAATTTATTATAAATCTATTTAAGTTTTATAAATAATTTAATTATATATATATATTTGTTGATTAAATCATAATTCAAATTTTTAATAATTTTTGTTAAAATTCTTATTAA